TTCCCTACTGTGCTATAACTCCTCCAGTGCCAGCCTCAGAAAGCTTTACATGCACCAGCTTAAAAGTGTTAGACACCTTGGCTGAGTCCACACGAGCATGGATGTTTGGTTACCTGGGGACAGCTAGCAGCTGCGCAAGGTCCCTGAGGAATGCTTGTGCCATGCACCCTCTGGTGTATGGCAGGTTTCCACAGATGGGGTAGGGGAGGCTGGGGCCGGCACTGGGCTGGCCCCAGCAGCCTTATCTAGGGTTCTGGGGCCTTCCTGGGGCTGCAGCAGTGACAATCCTGCTGCTCAGACCCTGGCTGGCGGCCAGTGTGTGGCTCCAGCTGGCCAGGCTCTGGTTTTGAGCAGTGTGCACTGCCCCCACAAGCACCACCCTGCCTTTTTCTTTTTTTGACCCTTGGATATCATGTTGGATATCGAGGGATCAAACCCCGCCCGCTCCCTTGAAGTGCAGAGAACAGCTGAATGTGTTTGCATGGCCACATTCATCTGGACACGGCCCTTGTGTGCTTCTCCATGAATCATATTGCTTGCTATGTTCGCACCCAGAGATTAACCAGAGCTCTAACTCTAGCCAGCCAGCAGCACAGCAGGCAGTGAACATGTTCCTGTTTTGCCATGCTGAACTGAGCTGTGTAGAAATGGAAGCAGGCCATGTGGAAACAAAGGGAAAAATGATAAGCATATATACATTGAGGGATGTAACCCACAGGACAGGAAGGGCATGAAAAAGGCAGGATCATACACTTGTGGAAATGGTGCTGGAGAAGTATCTGAACATGAGCTCAGGTACTTGCATTTTTGCTGCCTCTTGCACTGCAGAGTGGATGCGAAGAAGGGGCCAAAGCACAACATGCCTTGTGAGCAGAATCTCACAGATTCAGTATGCCTTTAGACAAGCATTTAAAGGGTTTCATTGCCTTACATGGCTTTGGCATAAGGCAAGAACACGCAGGAAGTCTGCAAAATAGATGTAGCCTAAGATTTGATAGTCCAGAAGTAAGACAAACATAGAAAGCCCGGGTGTAAAATGAATGATCTAAAGATACCACCTTCATCATAATGTGAGACAAAAGATTCTGTTCAATAACATTTAATCAGAAACTAATAAAAGGAAGTGCCTTCTCGCATGCTCCATAATTAGTCTGTGGAACTCATTGCCAGAAGATATCACTATGCCAGCATTCTTAGCAGAATTCAGAAAAAAATTGGGACTTTTATCTGAATCCTGAGAAGAAAAAAGGAAATATTAAATGGGATTTTAAAATAATTAGAAATATCCATCTTCTTGCTTCAGGGAATAAACCAACCTCTAACTAGAACAAAATTATCTCTATATGCTGCATAAATGTCCACCATAACATTTTTTTATCATTTTCCTCTTCAGCATTTTTTGTCCTCACCCCACTAACCAACTAAGTGGAACACTTCTGTATCCTACATGGCAAATGTCTCCAGAGCAGCTTTTTTTTTGTAAGACAAGGAGGATGTCTTGAGATACTAGGTATTTTATTTAAGACATGAAGACATGTGACAATGACATTTCTTTATGTGAGAATCTCAGCTTTCATTTAAAAGAAACAGCATTTCTAGCCCTTATGGCTGCAGTGGAGAAAAGTTTGGAAAAGTTCAGAAGCAAAATTATAAAATACATTATTATATTAAAATCTCTTGATATGGGGACTCTGAGTCTTGATTTTTTTAAACACTTGGAGTTGGCAATACTGTGTTTGTATAATCATTGCTCCCTAACTGTTGGACTTAATTTCTGGAAAACAAAGGGAATGTCCAGAATCATTCAGCAGAGAGTAGTAGCACTTACGGTACGCTTCCAGTGTGATCTTTGGTCAGACTTTCTTCAGGGTAAGAGACTGCATACATTAGCCAAGAAAGACTGCTTACCACCTCTCTGTGGTTTCTCTGTTGTGCATTTGTATGTCTCTGTTGTGCTAATGTCTTTGTATGCAAACTCTTACATCTGTTGAAAAACAATTGTCATCTTCTAAAGAATACAGGAACTACAAAGTGATGTATCTGTCTTGTGAGGGTTATATCAACTTAAGAACCAGAGCAAGTGTTCCCAAAGGTTTGCTCCTGCCCATCAAAATAGGCTATTTCCTGGTTACCATTACCATGCCCTTGTGTACTTTTGTGCCATTGCCTGCTATGATGTAGACTTAAGCTTGCATCGTTTCTGTTCAATCCCTTTCTGTGACATAGCTGTAAGGGACAAGCATGAGTAATTCTGTCATATGCAGAACTTCACTATGCTTCCTAGAAGCAAAGACGTTCCTGTTCCCTGAATGAAGAAAGAGATCTGTTTCATGGCTCTTCTGTCCCTCCCCGCAATAATATCAGGATAGTTTTGTTTCTTCTTGTGTAGCAGTTAGAGTTACCTAAAGCTTAGTCAACCTGCCTCATTAATTACCCCAAAACTGGACAAGATGGCTTTTATAGCAGAAACCTGAGGTCAGGGGTACTGACTTCTGCTACATGATGGATATAATCTCCTCTAACGGTGACGCACAGCATGTGATTGGCACCAGGAAATAAAGATCAGAACCCTGGTTTTCAGAGGTACTGAGTATCTGCAGCTCCTCTTGAGCAGACTGGAATCAGCACCTCGGAAAAACAGACCATAGTCCTTGGCCCATGCTTCTGTGTCACATCATTATTAGATAATGTCATCATAATGGTATACTGTGTTCTCAGATAAAGAGAGGAAGGAAAAGGATTTGAGTAAACAAGAGCGGAACAGTTCACAGAGCAGGCTGCCGCTGCCAGGCATCCTCAGCAATAGCTTGCATACTTGACTCAGGCTGCAGATTATTTCAATGTCAGCACACATGTCATTTCTGGAAACTCCCTGAAGACCAAGGACATCGCAGGAGCCATTTTATTGCACTCCATGGTGAGGAGCCTGGGCAAAGTGCAAGAGGTAAAGGCTAATATGGCCACATCACTTTTTGATTTCTAGGCCAAATAGAAATTTGGGGAATGTGGGAAAGTTTCCACAATAAAATGTTGAAACTGGTTGAAAAACTGTGAGGTGTTTTTCATCAAAGCTTTTGAAAAAATAATTTTGGATAAATATTCCTATTTTTTTCCACCAATAAGCTGTGTGACACATCTCTTGTCATTTGAACATGACAGTTCTGTCCCTAAAATACACACACATAGCTGTCTATGAAATCCATCCATCTACAACAGATACTTATGGACCTATTGAAATATAATAATATTGCACCAAATATTTGCCTATGACTTTGTAACAATGTTAGAGGAAGATTTTTTTTCCATAATAGTATCCAGAACAGAACTGCAATACCTCTGTTATTACCCATCTATAAAGCTACACCTCAACAATGTTACCTGTGGACATAAATGTTCTTCCTGTACAACATACATTTAAATAGTAGTTTTAAAATGTTTACAATGTTATGTTACTATTATCATAATAAACTTTAGCTTGGTCAATGGGAAATATGGAAAAGCAGACAAAGACTAACGGATTGGTTCTCACCTTTTTTAGACTCAAGGCACCCCTCAGAAAATGCCAGCTTGTTGTTTTCATTCATTTTTTGACTATGGAAAAATAATAAAGCAACACTTTTGTTGCAAAAAATGCTGAAAGACTACAACATGTCAGAATGATTTTGACACTATGGATTCCTATTTGAAATCTCTGTGTTTTTATTGTTTGCATATCTAACAGAGCTAATATTGCTTGGTACCCAGTGGCACCCTTAAAAGGAGCTCATGATACTCCAATGAACTATGTTGACCAATGCTTTGTTAGGAAAGTGAAAAAGAAAAGGGAACTTGCCTACTACAAATTTCTTCCTGTCATGACAAAGGTGACTATTCAGCCCCATTTATATTATAACATAAAATAATTGAAAGTTAGCACAGCCCCTCTCCTTGATATGAGGAAACAAAAATGCATCCATATAATTTTTAAGGTCATTCTTGTTATGCCCACAGTTTTACTAAAAAAGGGCAATTCTAGAACTGTTTTGTGACAAAAGTGAAAACCAACAGGTCGGACACACTAGCTATAGCACGAAAGGTACTTCACAGGGCAGATCACATTAATATTGACACCAATGTGTAGGTAAATGTAATATATTTGTATCTGCTGGGTAAATATTGGGGCTCTGAGTACAAAAATGTCTTTAGTACTTTTTTGGAGAAAATAAATCACGACATAAGACACAGCAATGATGAATGTAAGGACATAGGCTGCAGAAGGTTATTTTGTTACTCTGTAGCTGCTGCTGTACCATTACTGAAAAGTAAATAGGTACATGACAGTACACAGACAAAATGTTATGGACACCGCAAATTTGTAAAAGAGGAACTCAGCACAAATTACACTGTGTGAAAGCATTACTCAGAGCTGAAAATTTGTGTTGGTGTAAAGTTTGCAGCAGCTGTGCAGAACTCTAGAAAGATATGTTTGCTGTACTTGGAGAAACTGAAAGGAATAATTGTTAATTTACAAATGATAGACCTTATGAAGACAATAGATTGGTCACCAGTTTAGCTGTGACAATAAAAAGAATTGGGCACAATGGTATTTTAATTTCTCAGGGTCTCAATAAATGCCCTGCCATGCTGCATGAGACTATGCCTACTCCAGGAGATGGGAAAAAAAGGGTGAGCCAATATTTACAGAAACCCATCCTTTTTCATGACAAGATGTTTAGCAGAATTCATAGATTTGTTGGAATCTGACAGGGCCATGCCATGAGTGTGTCTTACATGGCCTCAAACTTGCAACCTCTGGGCAGTCAACTGTGCACCTTAGCGCCAATACCACCTTAGCCCTCATTTACTGAAGTGAACAAGACATTTGGTAAGTGAAGTTGGTGAGGAATCCCTTGTTGTACATACAGTAGAAGCTGATAAGGTGTTGCACATTTTTCTACTTATCTTTTGAGAGTAAACACATAATTGAAATATTCCAGGAGTTATATGCCTGGAGTACTTACATGTATAGTGGATGAACAGGTGTTTATTGTTGAGATTGATAGGGATGAGCATGCTGGCACCTAGATAAAAATAATGCAGATAGCAGGCAATTAAAGCTTTACATTTAGCAAGGATAAGACCAAATACAAAGTTATTGAGGTGATGTATGTAGATCATGAAGTAATTCCATGAAGAGTTCAATATGGTGAAAAAAAAGTTTGAATCATAATTCAAATGGCAGCTCCTGTAGATTTAAAACAGGGTTTTATCAATTGATGGATATGGTTGGATATCTAACTTCTTACAGTGCAGGAAAACAATATATAATTTTCATCAAGACTGTAAAATTATTAGGTGGTTGTGGGGCAGCAGCAAGATAAATAGATGGGGATTTAAAAAGGACCCTTAGATATACATCTTCTGTATGTCTTCATTTCCCAATAGTGCTCAAGACTAGTCTATCAGAAAATGGACATCTGAGCGTGACTTATGCAAAACAGTGGGTTTGTATCACATACGTTAGAATTGGAGTGGTAGGGCCCGGTAGAATCGGAATGTACTATTTCCCTCGTTTGCTCATAATCTTCTCAAATTCCTTTTCAATTTAAATTCTCCTTGGTCGGTCTCATCTTAAGTGATGTTTTTTCCTGGTGAAGCTTCAGAAAATCTGTTCCCTTTTAGTTTTGTGTATATTTAATGAAACACAACAAAAGCATTTATCCCATATGTTCTGATGACAAATTATGTCCATAGCTAACTCAACATTGCTAAACAGATTTTGTTTAAACATAGGTTGTTTGGTAGATCTCACTGAGATGAGGAACAATCCAAATTTGAAGGAAATCTGTGATGGCTCTGAGCAGTGGAAGTTTTTTTTTTTTCTGAGCACACAGTAGGATTTATTTCAGTTAACACAGAGCTGTGCACATACCCAACTCCTTAAAAATGTTTTTCTTCCTCATCTGGAAAAGCTCTCTAAGATTGGCAATGCTGTGAAGCACTTTACATTTAAAGGCCCAATAAATCTTGCAACTGTTTTGAGGCATCAAAATCTTATAGGATCCCATGTGAAAGCCAGGATGTATTCTGCTGTGAGAAGAAGGCTGAACATAGGAATGAGAGCACAAGCTGCTGGAGTTTTTGTCCCATGTTTGTTATTGACTAATCTTAATAATTGCTATTTAGCAAATGCTATTTAGTTGTGATCATTATGAAGCAGGTGAATGTCATGAGTTGAATTTTCATAAGGAAACTGATCTTGGAGAGCTGATTAACTAGTGTCAGGTTAGGCCTGTTGAATGCAGTTTGATTTCATCCTCCCCTCCCCGCCCCCAATTTAATCCCAGTGTGGGTCTGTCTGTGAGAAAAAAAGAGACTGCAGTGCCTGGTAGAGTGGAGAGAAGAATGACACCAAAACAGAAAATGGCCCCTAAACCTTCACCTAGAAGAGTTGTAGCACCCCAGACTGTGAGTGTCTGTCTTCTAGATAATTTGAAGGATTTATTTACAAGTATTAATATTTGCAGTAAAGACCAGATCCCAACAGTAACCTCTGATGTTATCATCTGATTCCAAGGAAGTCCAGGAAGAGCACACAGTACTTGACGTGCAACAGGGCCTGATGCTAGCATGAGCACCAAGAGTAAAGATAATGAGCCTGAGTCAACAGCCCGTCACTCACATGCAACTGTTTTGATTTGGAGATTAAAAAGCAAAACAAAAAACCCTCATTGATGGGCAGATCTAGTAGCTCCCTGGTGGTTCCCCTTGCTGGCCTCTGACTCAACCAGTAAGGCTTTTGCTGTTTCCTCATTCTTTGGTTACACCGAAATAGCAACTGTCATGCTTGCAGAGAGAACTATGCAGCGTGACTAGTAGGAGGGGAAACTGAGAGCCTTTTTAACCAATGGCCATTCAGAAAGATACTCGGGTTTTCCACTGGGACCCTAGGGCTCTCTACTGGGACCCTAGGGCTCTCTGTTTTGAGCAATGATGCCATTTGATCCAAACTTCCCAGCTTCCCCTGGGAAGGCAACCATTGGGTTGTCCTCTGCTGTGGCTGAGAGTTACAGGCCCCCCCTGCTGTGCGTGTCCTATTCACCTTTCCTCTGCTCTCTTCATAATACACAGCGCCTCTGGTTCTCTGGTTATAGGCCACGCTGCAAAGAGCTGCTCTGTTGGGGGCTGAGGGAAGCTGTGTAAATGCATGATGGTAGCCAGCCGGGCAGGAAGCAGGGCTGCCAGCCCTGCAGGTTCACATGTCATGAGACAGATTCCTTCAGACCCCCAAATATATTGTAATTGCATCGTGTTTATTCATTTGTCTCATGGGTTTTTTTTAAACCCCTCCTCCCCACATACTCGGGGGGGCAATGCTTCTGGCCTGTTGAGAGAGGTGATTTGGAACCCTGCCTTATATTGGCACAACCCTACCCCCAACCAGTTCTCTCTCAACCTCTTGCAGCCCCTAGGGTTCTTCCCACCACTGTCTGATTTGTTGGAGGGCTGTAATCAGGCCCCCTTTCCCCTCCCAGCCCTCAGGCAGAGTGTTACAGGGACAGAGGAGTGGCACGAGGGATGGAGGAGGCATCTTACTGGTCTCAGGAGGGGCAGGAAGAGGAGTAGAGGACAAGGAGACTCCCTGAGCTCTGCCTGCTCCTCTGCCCTCTCCCTTTTGGTGAAAGTGGTGCTCATTCCTGAGTGAAGCGGGAGGGGAAGAGGGAGGGGAGCACTGCTTGTTTCCTGCAGTAGCTC